TAGAGAGTTGCTAGTGCATTATCTGCTGGCTGGTTGGCAAGTTTGTTTGAGCCACCACTTCTAAAGAATAGTCCTGCATCGCCGTACTTAAGGTCRTACTTTGCTGATGGGGTTGGGCTATCTCCTGTTCTAGATGGTGAGGATACAGGAAGTAACTTGACTACTGACATTAATAAAGGTTAGTTTGATTTGTCCCATTTCTTTTTTACTCATCCTTTCTGTCCTTTTATCTCTTATTTCTCATCCATTCTGTTGGACATGTCATTCATTTCTCAGTTATCCTTTTAGTTCCATATAATCCAAAGTCATCTCTTTTTGTGATGGTCATTTAATTCTCACTCATCCTTTTGATGTCACAGTAACTTTATTTCTTAATTAGTATTTTGGTTATCTACTCTCGCTTTTCCAGTTTTATAATATACATTTGGCTCCCTGTGGAAGAAATAGAATTGTTACTAGTCCCGCTCTCTTACTGAAGTTCTAACACAGGAAGCCCACTATTTTATCTTAGAAGGGAAGGGATGCCTTTGGAGGAGGTTAATCCTACTCACTTATTCAGTCATCCTATTTGTTGTCTCATTTTGTTTTCAATCATCCTTTTTTGTCACATTTATATGTCTCCTTTTTTTACCAATTATTCTTTTCATAATGTTTGATTGTTACATGAATGTATTTGGACATCACAAACATTCATTGCTGCAGAAGTTCAAGAGAATGAAAGTTAAACTGAAAGAAATATTTGTTTCCATGCCACATTTAGGTTATATYCAACCTTTCTATAACCCTGATATTGGTGAGGCAGCATTTACCTATAGACCTGATACAATGGAACAAGATGAAGTCAAGAATTTCCCACTGTTTGCTGCAACAAGGTACATGTATTACTTTTTACTATTAAATCTAAATAGTAATCTAAATATACTTACGTATATGTACATGTATCCAGCGATACAGATTTGGTTATAATTTCTTTGTAAAGCTATAATTATTCTGAACTCTGATTATTATCATTTTTAGGGAAGGATCAATTRTTTATCTTACTTTAAGAAATTTGATTCTGGCTTTGTGGGCCTCAAACTGCAAGGTATTTTTAATTAGGAATTATCAAAATGCATAGACCAATAATCTCCTTCTTCAAGGCGTTTTCCTGCCATCATGAAAAGTAGACTGTGTGTTCGTATCAAAGCAAGAGGAGCTTTGAGCTTGCATTTATTAGATCTACTTATGAATAATCATCTGTACACGTGTCAAAAAAGGTTACTTTATGCCATCTCATGCTCGACATGGTCGTCTCACTTTGGTGCAAAGGCACATGCGTCGCCTTTCAAGATGGTGCAGGGAACTATGAACAAGGAAATTATTGTTTTTCTGCAAAGAACTTGACATACACATGGCATAAACTGTTTGCTCAAGTAGAGTTAAATTCTATAATTATCAGTCTTAAAATCAACAGAGGGTAWAAAATGAATGCAAAAATTGTTTTATTTATAGGAATACCTGACAAAAGAAACGTGTGCTAACCATATCATCACAAGAGGTTTAGTAAGAATCCCACTTATTCAAGAAATGGAAAATATTTTACAATACTTATCAATAAAAGGAATTATAAACCATGGAATAATCGATGGTTTGCGGCAACCRATATTCAAAAATGAGGTAAATAATAATTGATTCCAGCACAAAGTTTTTCCATTCAGAATTTCTTTATAATT